CTCGAGGTTCTTTGGTATGCTGAATCTAACCATGAATTTAGATTTTAGACCATAACAGGCAAATGTCCTATTTAATATTTTTAAGTTGTTAGGCCCTATTCACTCTGTGTCCGAAGCTTATGCTGTGTCAAATATTTAATCATAATCCAAAATCAGAGCTATATCAAGCTTGAATGTTGTGTCCATACTTTCCTCAAATGTTCAGGGTTCGACCTCAGCTGCGGTCGTAACAAGCTGCGCCCTGTGGAATAATTACTGTAGCATTATGAGCCCTTGTGAACGCAAACCCTTTTAGGCCTTTTACCAAAAACATTTCACACTTGGTAGGGTCATGGGTTATGATATGCAGTGGACCATACTGTAAAGTCTTTTTGATTGGACGGTGAAAATTATATGATTCATTAAAACTAATTAAAACATAGTAGTAAGATTAAGTACGATGTAGACTGATAATTTCTAATAGCAAAGAAGTAAAGAGCCAAATAATTTCTATTTCAGATGGTTAAAGAATACAAGTGTTCCTTATGTGGAAAGTGTCACCTTAAAGATAGACGTCCTATTAAGTCCACACCTTTAAAGAAATATGTATCATCAATAATAGGACGTAGTATTGAAAATGATGAAGTTATCTGTGGAAAGTGTAGAGCTATGTTTAACAAATCGGCTAAGACAAATGTACAATCGAATAACAATCCTTCTGAAGACAGTGATTCTGAATTTGTTGTCGAAAATCCACCAATAATCGATATCGCAAGTCCAAAAACAATTCATCTGAATATTTCTTCAACGCATACTTCTCATAAATACTGTATTGTGTGTTAGAAAGAAGGAAATAGGCGTGTTAAACTATGTGTTGTCCCTTTGAAAGCAAGAACCCAAGCATTTATACAAAACGCAATATTTGTTGACTCTAAAGCGAGATGTTGCACGTCTCACCTTCAAGATCTTCATTTTTCACAAGCATCACTTATGATCCTTAAAGCTAAATACACTAAATCTTTCTTCAGCCGTACTGAAATTGTAGCTCTTCTAGAAAATGTCCGGCTTACTATGTCAAAATCCTCTATTTTGGATTTTGATAATCCGTCTAGACTAACAGACGATGATTATTATAACTTGACTGGGTTAACAAAGCAGCAGTTCGAGGATTTGTCAACTTACTCTACAAAGATACGTCAATCCAATGTAAGATCTGTTTGAACATGTTTGGCAATACTTTTGACTAAATTACGCACTGGTCTTCCTAATCAAATTATTGGAACTATATTTTCAATGACAAAAAGCCAAATTCAAAGAAGTATACACAGCGCTTGAACTTCTTTACAGTCATTTATTACTCAGAACGTAGGGTTTCAACACATAAGCCATGATGATTTTGTTGAGAATCATACAACTGCCACTGCTCAAACACTTTTTGGCAACAACGAAAAAGTAGCTACTTTAGTACTAGACGGCACCTACATTTACATCCAAAAAAGTTCAGATTACAAATTCCTACGCCAATCATATAGCTTGCATAAACATCGTCCTTTGATAAAGCCAATGGTAGTTGTTGGGACAGACGGTTATATTCTCTCCGTTTTAGGTCCCTTCTTGTCAAATGGTAAAAACAATGATGCCGCTATAACTAAACATATGGTGACAGTGAATGCTGAAGGAATGAATGAATGGCTTCAACAGGATGATGTATGCATTGTCGATAGAGGTTTTCGGGATGTTGTTGAATATCTTGAAGAACAGGGTTACTCTGTTCAGATGCCACTATACCTGAAAAAGGGTCAAAAACAGCACACAACAGAGGAGGCAAATACCAGTAGACTGGTAACAAAAGTCAGGTGGATTGTAGAAAGTGTTAATGGTAGGCTGAAACAATGGCGCTTTTTTGACAAGGTTGTTTCGAACCATTACATTCCTTTCATCGGAGAATTGTTACGCTTAGTATGTGCATTGTGCAACAAATATCGGCCTGCAATAGCAAGCACAAATGCAGATGATATCAAGATAGCTGAGGCAATGCTTGATAAAAGCAAGAAAGGAAATTTAGTTCAAGCGATTGTTGAAAATGAAGGATTAATTAATAAAAGAGTAATATATACTCTAGTTGACGGGTCATCTACCGATCAGCTAAAAGATTTCGTGGTCTTATCCGAGGAAAAACTTCGCCAGATAACGATGGGGATTTACCAACTTAAGCAAACCCCATTATATGTTAGAGAGCATATTGGAAATGATAGCGTATATCAATTGTATGTTTGCAAGATAAAGGCGAAATTAATAAAAATTAAATTGCAATCTCGCTTTAGTAACAGTTCCACCCACAATGTATTTGTACAGTATACATTAGACGGTGAAATAAGTGGATGGTACTGTACTTGCAAGGTTGGAGCCAGGATTGATGGATGCTGTGCTCACGTATCCAGTGTACTTTGGTACTTAGGATTACACCTACTTCAAAATACCTCAATTAATAGTCCCAGATTTACGAAGTCAGTTTTGGATGCCTCAGATCTACCTGACTTGGAAACAGACAGTGATTGTAGTTCTGATGTTGAGGAATAGTTCTTCAATGCGTCTTGCTCTCGTTGGGCTGCGGTGGTGATTTCTTTATATTTTGACATGATTTAAACAAAAATACTTTAAACATTTAATAGTCGGATATAAAAAAAAATCGTAATCTATTTTCATATTCAATCGGTAATATGAACAGTATTGAAGATCATTTATTTGTCCATCCTGACTTAAGCTTTTTATTCTTTAGCAACAAATGCATACTGTTTGCCTAATGTCATTAGCTTTTTATTTCAAACTTTATATGGTTGTTTAAATCCGCTTTGTTTATATTCTGTTGGAAATATTTTTCATTGGCATTCATACAACATCTCCTTAATTTATATAACATGTATATTGATTTTGTTGCGAAACTTTTATTGTATACTATAAATTAGATGAAATTGTGTTAAGTTCGGTGTTTTTATGACCTGTTGGGGGTAATGGGAAGCTATCAATTTTCTTAGTAGATGTTTATCCTGATGTCCTGCAAATCTTACAGGAAATAGCAAAGACCCTTGTCTGTTTGTTTGTCTTCTTTGATAGTTTTTGTTAAGCTTTTTAAGAAATCTTACTGGAAGGAAGGCATTGGCTATGATATTAAATCAGAACTATTTTTTTTTTATCAAAGTGGCATTTTTCTTTATTTTATCCTTCTTTATGCTATGAAACGAATAGCTTGTATTGTATTTTGTACTATTGTCAATTAAGTATAGAATATATAAGACATTGACTAATATTAAAAAGGGATGATGTTCGAATATTATCAAACATGGATTTTGAAATTGGACAATTTTAACAGCACCACATGTGAATTCTGATCATGTTTAATTAATAGCTTAGCTTATTAAATGACTTGGGTTAAGTGTAAAAAATACCAGATTCAACTGTCCTTTCTTTAGGACTATGTATAACCATGATAACGGATTGTTACCGTATGTATTTAAATAAAACGATAGGCTTTTTTGCAAATAGATTTATTTGTTGTTTGACATTCAACTATTGAGATCTCATTTTTAAAAAACGATTATATAACTAATCTGTTTAACTAATCAAGTTTGGGAATCATCTGTGCTTAAGGGGGATGTTAAAGAGTTAGATATAGTTAGAGATTGTGATACAAATATCACATTTACGTTTTGTTTATAGAGATATATTGTTTGAACATTGCTGTTTACTGCTGTCTTTATTGTTTACTTTTATAGGTCCAACATTACCATGAAAAATAATGAACATAGCTGTTATACTTATCAACCCAAAAATAAATATATATATAATAGTGTTCCTTTCATCTTCAACTAGGAATTTTCAAAATACATTTTAATGAATCCAAATGTACAAATTCTACTGAGATGGCTTTCATATTTTGTAAGCTTCACAAATATTCATTTTCGTTTAAGTCAGTATTTTAGACATAAATACATGTTTCTTATTCACATCATTCTATGTTTATTTGACTTATAAAACACTTTGTTCAAATAGATTTCTTTTTATTTATATAAAACAGAACAATCATTCTAAGTGAATAAAGTGAATAACATGAAACCCGGAGATGTGGGATTGATAGCAATGATACAGTAACCCTATGACACAAAGTCCTAAAATAAACATTGCGATATTTTTCAAAGGTTATTTGCCAGTCAAACAGAAGCTGATGTTTCGAAATCTTACAATTCTGAAAATTATTGAATTTTGTATAAAAAATCAATATTTCATAGAAAATACATCTCTTCTATTTACATTACTCAATACAGGTGTCATTATCTCATATAAATACACATTCTGGTATTTGCTGAGATTTTTTTTGAGTTAAACAGATGCCATTAATAATTGTCTGGAAATTCTCAAAATCATAAACTTTCGTATAAAAAAACAAACTTTTCACCCAAATACTTGTCTAGTATTTATAAAACTTGAAAGATGTCTGTAATACCTTTAACAAATCATTGTGATAAGATTTTGAGAAGAACTGATGAATAGTACAGAAGTTCAGGACATAACTCGTATAATTTTCAAAATCAGTGATTTTCATATAAAAAACCAAGTTTTCCCCCCAAAAAAGTTGTCTGATTTCAACATAATTTCAACACCGTCTATTACTTCTATAAAGATAAATTGTGTCAAATTTGGCAAATATCTGATGAGCAGAACAAAAATTAAATTCCATTAACACTCTACAGAAGGAGGTCTGATATAAAAGGTTACGCACAGAACTACATTTACATATGCACGTGTAGTATGATGCGCATGCGCGTTATAGCACCAAAATCTGACCATATTTTAAATGCCCTGTCCCTAGGCTTAAGTTACTGCAATTATGGATTATTTTCAAGAGGGGGCCAAAAATGGCCCCTATCATACCTTGTCCTTTGATGTTTGATACAGAGAGTTATTTAATTTTTTAAAGAAATTAATCTGAGTAATTTGTATTATTAATTTATATTTATTTACAGAGTTTTGCATGGTTATTGAAAGTGATAAGAAGTATCATTCTGACTGTAGTTTGTTTAACTGTCTCTACCTGTCTCACTCAGTGGCTTATTCTGGATAGTGGTGAAAAGTAAGATACAACAATATTTCTTTTTGCTCTAGATAAATGATTTCACTAATACTTTTTTATGTTTCTAAAATTGAAGTCTGTAGTCATGATATGTTTATGACAGGTATAATCTATATTTTGGTGAGCAGTTCCCAGGTTCAAGAAAGGGGATCAAAAACAGTGCTGCCAGTAGAAAACAAATTGTTTTTTTTTCGATTAAGGGAGGGGGTACACCCTCTTAACTACACATAAATTCACCTCTGCTACCCTACAGAAATACATTAAAAAAAAATCATTTGCAATAATTTTTAATTGCGCTGATAGTAATGTTATTGCCACTAATGTACATAAAACAGTTTTTATTTAATTTCAATGGAATTGACCATTATGAAAAAGATTGGTTAAGGTTTTAATTGTAAAATGTTTCCTTATATTTTCAGGTGGTTAGTAGCCTACAGAGATGCACAATCATTTAGGTTTAGTCATTACTTTATTTGTTTTGTAGCAGAAACATCAGCCACATTGGCAGGCTTAGGTTTTACTGAAATCATGTGGTAAGTATCATTTTATTTTTGAATGATTTTGATTTTATTATTGTTAATGACCATGCATTTAATTCCATAAAAATTATTACACCTGCAGTGAGTAGAACCTTATTCATCTACCTGTGAAATAGATAAAAAAAACTGAATATTTTATGTCCCCGCCGTAATGGAGGGGCATTACGGTTTCCCTTCAACCAAAAATTATGAAATTTATACACAATGCTTGTAACCACAAAACTCAGATCAAGTTCAAATTTGGGTGGCATTACTTTTACCGTTTTGGAGTTATGCACCTTTATTACATTATATGTAAGCGGGGGCATCATCTGTGTCCCATGGACACATTCTCCATTAATTTAATGATTATTGTTATGAACGTTTAATTATACTTTCATAGTTTTGTTTAGCCAAAAATATTGTTCCCGGCAAAACTGACAGTTTCCTATTTTGCGTTATGAAATTCCGCCAACATGTGGCATTCGAATAACATCTTTTGTTTTCCAGTTTGTTATTAATTATTATTATTAACTACATTTCATTAGTAACTGCATTTTACCTGCTTTATATTCCCAAATCGGTGTAAAGTCGGATGAAATTGTCCATTCCTTCAATATAATCCAATGTTTACGTACTCCCTAACTTTAATACACACATTTAACCTTGACCGGTAGCGACCTATTTTCTTACACGCAAGGATAAGGCAAGGATAAGGCATGCTAAGTATTATAAAAAGGGGATTTTCCGACTAGCAAAACGAATTTGAACTCATCTTTACAGAAACTTAATAGGTAAATACTTCACGCACGAAAATCACAGAAAACCTTTAAACATATTGTACTTTCATTCTTTGTAGTAATTTATAGTTATAATAATAATTTCTATTTCTTGAAATAGTAGTTTAGTTGTTATTTTATTTAGAAAACCTGGCAAAGGTATTTCAACTATTGAATAGAATAAATATCTAGAGACTAAAAGTATTGTAAGAAAGATTGAGAACAATCTTTACAATTATAATGGAATGAAATTACTTTTATGTAATTATCTGAAAATGAGCATTTTTTATAAAGCAGAAAGTCTTGTTTATAAATTATTTTGTAATGTGTTCCTAATGGTAAAAGGTTTGAAATGAGACATTGGCAAAGTTTCAATATGTAAAATGAAATAGAAAAAAAATGTCTCTCTTTACACTCTACCTGAAATGTGCATACAAACATTTTTAGATTGGAATAAAGTTCAGTATCAGTGGTAATCAAGGGTCCGGAAACGGTCATATATGCCAGACATGACCGATTTGGAAACTGAAAAGACCGAAATGATTTATTGGGATTTAGGTCTTTTTTTTTTTTTTACAGAAATAATTTCGGTCATTTCATTGAGATCAGGGTTTTATCGGTCGCCATTTTGAACTTATTTTTGTTTTCAGGTCATCAAGAAAAATAGATTTGTTTGAGACAAAATAAAAATTTTATTGATTTGTGTTAGTGACTTAATAATATTTATCATTAGTCTGTTGTTTATTCTATAATGTAAGTAAAAACAATGTACAGGACTCTGTCGAGTCACAGCGTGGGGTAAGTCTGGGTTCAAGCCACTAGGTTTGTTTACATAGTAAGGATAGTAATCAATGTCCAGGAAGTTTGAATTCGGCTTGGGTGTCGTTATTGTCTTGATTAAAGCCATAAAGGCCATGTACACAAATCTCACCTGTAAACACCTGTTAAGCAATAAAAACAATATGGCGATTTGCTGTGCATCAAATGTAACGTTTTAACCATTCTGACCTAGATTTTCCCAAACAGATATTATTTTATTCATTAAAGAAGACAAATAACATTGTTGACCCGAGAATCTGTCTATTTTTATCCAAATAAAACATATAATCCATTTATAATCGATCAGCTGATTTGGTCAACGTTTGTTAAATATAGATTTATGTTTACTGAGTTTGCGCATGGAAAATGGGGATCAACATGGGTTAATTGATAATCTTATTTGAAAGATCGATTTTACTGTTAACTTTTCGGTAGGAAATGGCAGATAAAGATATTAATAGATTTGCAAAAGTGGTAAAGCGTATAATTTATAGGAATGCAGAATTAAAAAAAAATGTTTAAAAAAGGAATTAAAACTAAATAACGTAATTTAGATTTGAAGCCATACAGCCTATTTAAGAAATATACTCAGCGAATGAACAATCTCGATTTTTTTTTGTTTTTTTTGCACTTCCGATTTTTTGAAACCATCTAACTCACAGAATGTAATGGGCGTTATCCTTTCTTTTGTTTTCCTGGCTAAACTTCCGATTTTTACCCAAGTGAAGCCATACATTCTCTCTGTAAAGACCAACAGAATTCATGGTTTCCCCTTTTTGATCCTCATATCGTAAACCAGGTGAATACACATTATCTTGTTGTGTATTAGGTAATCACTTACACTCATCCAAACAGCAGCAATTTGAACAATACAAAAGATATCTTGTACATGCAATAAGAAGCTCAACACAGTTTATTAATTGATTTACATAACTTTATTTCAAAATGATGAAACATGCCGTATTTTATTCCTCTTTTAATTTATGCAAATTTAAAGGGTTATGCATACGACCTCAGTGATGCAATACAAAACAACAAAACGTCTCCTCGTGTAGTTTCTAACTCAGAGACATCACTGTTACTGTTAGATCAAGGTACAGTTACACTTGTTTGACCCAATACTTCACAAAAAAGGACTTTACTTGTCCATGTGCAAGACTTGTCACCCTTAGAAAAATGCATTATTGTGCATCACGATATTATTACATCACAAAAAAAAAATGACCAAAATGACTTGGGAAAATTTCCGGATCCTTGGTGGTAATTGTAAAATTTAGCTTTTTTTTTTAATGTTAAAGGGGCATAAGCTACGAGATATAAGAAAATGTAATGAAGTCAGTGGTTGATTAAATAATTTTATTATGTAATTACAAAGTTAAGAAAGATTCTGAAGTTCAAATGTTCGATTGTTCACAACTGTCTTTAAAGTTGAATTGTTCGAATGTTCATATCGTCACACGGACACGTGATCGTATAGTGGTATAACTGTTCGGTCCTGACTGAGTTATTCGGATGGTTAGTGAATTATTTCCAGCCTACCCACAAGGGGGGAGACCTTGGCGGAATCTCCTATCGGAATCTATCTGTACAAATCTCCCCGTTCGAGTCCAAAGCTGGATCTTATATAGTTCAGTGGGCCATTAATCACCTTTAAACTATGACCCATAGCTGTTGGCAGGTTGCGTAGTAGTCTGGTTGTGGAGTAATACTAGTCTGTGGTTAATTGTCAAACTATGCAATTAACCCCTGACGGATACATGTTATTTCACAGTAGACATGGTCATTTATTTGCTGCAGGGTATATGTCTATAATATTCGTACAGATTGTTATTAAGTGTCTAAAGGTTACATGTAATCGTTTCGGATTTGCTGTATTTAGTTACTTCCTGATGATTAACGTATGGAACACAATTGTGTTACATAATGCCTTCCATCCAAAATAGAACGAAAGTTCAATAAAATACGGTATTTTTCTTCCTGTAGGTTATTCTAATAGTTTATTGTAAGGTTTCCGGTAACCATCACCACAAATCTAGTTCATAAAATTCGGCAAATCCAACATCTGGATACATAGAGTTCATATGATTCATAAAGTTCAAGATTTGGGTATATATTGTGCATACTTTTTCCCGTCACCATTATAACATATTGTTCATCAACTGTTGGAAAGGGCACACATCTTTGAACACGTGTCGGTCATCATCATCTCCATTACGAAGTAGTTGACGCATCTAGCTGGTTGGTTCATCCTTCTTAAGAGGCTGTTAACATCGGCCTTCGGTAAAGTTTCGTCCTTGATCAATGGCGCAGAGGAAGACATCTCTCTGGAATCAGTAACATCTGTCCCAACCAATCACGTAGACACCATTTTGTACCCATTGTTCGTGGCATTAGAACCAAAACTCACACCTTTCTTTTTGGCCAACCAAGATATATTCTGAACAAATTAACAGTACAAAAATATGGCTATTCCAATGAAGATCGCACCTAAACCCCACTGATAAACTTATCTCAATTTGGAAAAACTTAAACTTGTTAACTTCCATTTATTTCTTTTTTTATTTATCAATCAGATTATTGATAGTTTGTTCACTCGCCTTTAGTTCGCTGGGTTATTCAAGCCTAGCAAAATTTTGTAAAACAATTCCTATATATAAATCAATACGTTCTTTTTTTTATATCGAATTATCTGTTAAAAACAAAAAAAATAAAAGGGGGAAACTGTCGTATACAACTTCTACAAGTTTGAGAATCCTACATAATAAAAACAAAAATATATGTATTTACACAAGACGTAAGAAAATCATTATAAATTTACAATCAAATAAGTTCAATTCGATCATTTTATATAACCCTACACCTACATGATACCTATAAAAATAAATACTAAAAATTATATGTGTTACTTTGTTACCAATTGTAATACTTTTACGTCTTTAACTTTAGTTTCTCATTAATTAATCTTAATGCTAAATATAGTCCACAAATTTATTCTCATCACTCTTAAAAATATTTAAGATTACATTTATAAAATTTAACTACGTCTTGCGCAATTTGTTACTGACTCTATATTTCCTATTTGACAACAACACCTTGTTGCGAAAAAAAATGCCTTTCTCCTTAATCTATTACATTTTTCCAAAACAAGTTTATAGTTTCTTCATCATAATCTTTCCTTTCTTTTATATATATATCATTTTAATTTGCTTTTAAACATCAGCAACCTACTGCCTATCTTTTTTTATACATTTCATAATGACTGAATGTATATATGTTGAGATTTTATTCATTCTTTTTTTTTTTTTTTAAACTTGACTTATTTCTTAAAAACCAAAACAATTTAAAGTTTTTTCTATGCTTATTTATGAACAAAACCCATTGTTTAGACTCATTTTTTTGTTTTACTACTAAATTAATTATTTTCTTATTCTTATTTTAATTTCTGATAATTATCCTCATAATTGTTTTAAAAAAAAAATCTATTTTATTTTAATGCTAGTTTTCCTTTAATATCAATTATCTATTTCACTTAAATTTTGCCATTAGTCATGAAGTTCATATGTCTCTCATTTTTTACAAATATCGATCTACCATAAAAATACTGTAAATCCCTTAGGGCAAAACATATCAACATTTATCTTTAATGTGCTATTTTCTGAAGATACTTCTCTTTATCTATTAACATTTATTTTATGTAAATAAGGCGTAATCTAACACCATAAAACAACTTGCACCATTTAATTACTTAACATCACTTATGTTAATCATCCGAAGAAGGGGTTGGAATCTAAAATTATAGACTATTTGTTTTTCTCTGAACAAACGTGCATACACACTACCCAACTGCGTAAACCATAATCGTCAATGGCTATAACATCGCAAACATATGAACCCACAATGTACCCTTAACTTCAACTACCAAAGGTTCTAAATCAACCTTCATATATACCGGTGCTCTACTAATTTTACGTAAGATATATATTTTCTAGAATAATTGAATGTATCTTCAAGAAAACAACCCATAATATATATGATCAAAAACCATAAATACGAAAAAATGCTATAGTATCAGACATTTTACTTTTTTTTATTACATATTTACTCTAAACGAAAAACTAGCTTCTTCAAACTTAAAAAAAAAATTTTGTTTTTAGGAATCATACTTATTATATATAACGTATCCTATCTATTAAATAACTGCATATAAAAATAACTAAAAAAATATCTTCAATTGTTTTAAGAATATGTGTATTCATAATTCTTAAATTGACGTACAATATCTAAAAATACTAATAAAAAATTTCGTGCGAACCACAGCTCGTGAACAAACTTCTGATTTTAAGCCTTTTAAATATACGGCCTCACTCCCTTTAAAATTAAGAACTGTACTTAACATGCGTGCCATCCCTTGGAAAGCCATTTCTACTTTTTGCGCTGACATAGAAATATCTTGATTGTCCATAAAGAAAAAATGAAAGTAACTTAGTTCTTACGTTTTATATTCCTTTGCGTTGTTTTAGCCAATCCAAGTCGATCCTGGTCACACGGCATCAATTTGACTTATGTAATGAAGTCAGTGGTTGATTAAATAATTTTATTATGTAATTACAAAGTTAAGAAAGATTCTGAAGTTCAAATGTTCGATTGTTCACAACTGTCTTTAAAGTTGAATTGTTCGAATGTTCATATCGTCACACGGACACGTGATCGTATAGTGGTATAACTGTTCGGTCCTGACTGAGTTATTCGGATGGTTAGTGAATTATTTCCAGCCTACCCACAAGGGGGGAGACCTTGGCGGAATCTCCTATCGGAATCTATCTGTACAAATCTCCCCGTTCGAGTCCAAAGCTGGATCTTATATAGTTCAGTGGGCCATTAATCACCTTTAAACTATGACCCATAGCTGTTGGCAGGTTGCGTAGTAGTCTGGTTGTGGAGTAATACTAGTCTGTGGTTAATTGTCAAACTATGCAATTAACCCCTGACGGATACATGTTATTTCACAGTAGACATGGTCATTTATTTGCTGCAGGGTATATGTCTATAATATTCGTACAGATTGTTATTAAGTGTCTAAAGGTTACATGTAATCGTTTCGGATTTGCTGTATTTAGTTACTTCCTGATGATTAACGTATGGAACACAATTGTGTTACAAAAATAGAAATATGATTTTTTTTTGTTCAATCATTAATGCAAGTAAAATTGTGAAATAATAATTCGCTTTTAGCAGCTAGTTTGGTTCAATTTTGTCAAAATAAGCTAAGAAACATCGCTGATGAATTATTCACTTGCAAGTGAATAATTCGACCTCATTCAATCCATATTCATGTGACCTTCAATTTAACCCCTTAGCTAGAGATGGGTTACGCATGAACTAGGCGTGTTCAGCTATTAAAAGGAAAAGAATGTCAACATTGAAAGTGAAACAAGGGTAAACCATTTGGTTGACTGATTCGATCCACAAAAGCTTATTCTTTTACATGTAAAATCAATGACTAACATATTTTTTTTAAACCTATAATATGAAATCAAACAGACCTAGAAAAATCCAATTGCACAAGTTCGCTATCTATTTATATCTATGTTTATGTTCATATGGGGTTATCCGTCGGCAATCTTCGGAGGTCGCCTCGATGGTTAATTAGATGGCGTCTAGACTAAAATACACACGAAATGCTGAAACATATTATCGTGTTCATGCATCGTAAATTGTTTATTTTAGATTTTTTATGATTTGGATATACGTTTTAGTATGTTATAAGTCGAATAATAGATTTTGAGTCAAATCGGTGAACATGATTTTGACAGCTAATGCCCCTTTAAAGTTTTATTAACAGTAAAAAAAAGATATTAGAAAAGAAAACACATTATTAAGATCGGAAGAAATCAAATAAAGAAGTCATCTGTTCTCATAACTGTAAAATTACGTCTTGTTCTATGTAATTAGTATTTTTGTTGTTTATTTAGTTTTCAAAACTTATATATAAATGTCCTATCATTATCTTGATGTAAGAAAAATTAAATATTTCAATTAATTTAGGGGATTGACAGTCAGTAAACCACAGAATATAGAACTACCTAGATCTTTAGTCGATGTGGTCACAAACTGGAATTTACCCATGCATTACTGGTTAAAAAATTGTAAGTTTGTTCATTTTGTAAAATATTGAGCTTATTTTTGGTATTTGTATATAATGGGTAGTAAAAAATCAGTTTGTATTCATTCTTATCCATCTGCTATTTAATGAATGTTGAACAAAAAAAAAATTCATGGTATTGGTAGTTTCCTGCATTTTCTTCTTCCCAGTTGATGATATTTAGTTTGTTTTTGGATGAATCAATATATTGTGTAGTTTCATATCAAATTCATATCTGATTTCATTGAGTCAGACATAGATGTGATAAAGTTAGAGCATGGACTGAGAACACTTAAACCTTTATAGTCTTTATCAAGTATGTTGATTAAACATAGAATAGACTTGCGTTAAAAGGAATTATAAAAAGATAAACTGTTGTTATGTTAAGCTCTATAGGACCAAACAGCTTATGTTTGTATTTACATGATTAACAGAGTAGTTTTTTTTTAATTTTTAATTATAAAAATGAATTATATTCTATTATGATTTGTTTCAGATGTGTTTTTAGTAGCTCAGCCATATGGAGTTGTAATTGCAGTATTTCTTACATATGCAGCCAGTAGTTTACTACATGTGAGTGTAGATAAATTGGTACCAACAATATAAAGTTATTTATATTTTAAGGTTATCCAGAATTATGCCCCTTTCACCATAGAATTTTTGAACCTTTTCAGATCCAACCTTCTCATTGTAACTCATCCTACATTGTTAGATCCTAATATGCAGATGTGCATGTGGTTAGGATTTCCCATCCATTTAGGCTTTTTGTAGTTATGCCCCTTTCTACTTAGAAATTTGGCAGAACAGATCTTGTCATTGCAACTTCTCTTTCATGTCAGGCAAGACACAGGGTTGGACAGAACCCTTTACAAATTTAGTTATGAAACTTTGTTACATGCTGTTAAAACTTACTACAGTGATCACATGCATATCAGTTGCTTTTCCATAAAAAAAAAAATTTCGATTCATATACATGTACAAATTAAATCAGGTAATTTTATATGAACTCCATTCCTTGTCAAGAAACATAGTCATTCAGACTTCAAATGATACTTAAAGGGGTACATGCATTTCAGACAAAATAAAAAAAAAACTTAAAAAAAGTCCAAATTTATATTATCAGCTTCATTGATTGGCTGTAATTCAGTCACTACTTTATTCAAACACCAATCCATGATGTAGGGGTATTAGTTCAGCTTAGTGGACAGTTCTAGATTTATTTTAAAGTCCAATAACAATAACAGTAAATTTAGAAATATTTGCAATGATTTTATTGTTGTTAAAAAATGTAAAAGGATTAGTCTCATATTAATTAGAACTGGCAGTTAAATTTTGATAGCATTGTTTAAATGCAGCTTGTCCTGAAATCACTTTTATAACAATCTCAATTTTTTTATGTTCATAAATAATTCTAATAACAAATACAGTCTAGGTCAAAAGCTCCCTGGAAATATTTCATGGTTTAAACTTATTGCTATAAATAATTATCATTAGCCTCAGTATTTGGTTGATGAGACTGAAATTTACTGTTGATATTTTCAGGGTTTAAATTTCCAGTTTGCTGCAGTGTTGTTTTCGTTAGGATTTTATACATATGTTGAATCAAGTAAGTTTATTTTTATCTCAGGACTAACCAGTTGAATGTTATACAAAACATACAACTATAAGTAAGTTTATTTTTATCTCAGGACTAACCAGTTGGATGTTATACAAAACATACAACTATAAGTAAGTTTATTTTTATCTCAGGACTAACCAGATGGATGTTATACAAAACATACAACTATAAGTAAGTTTATTTTTATCTCAGGACTAACCAGTTGAATGTTATACAAAACATACAACTATAAGTAAGTTTATTTTTATCTCAGGACTAACCAGTTGGATGTTATACAAAACATACAACTATAAGTAAGTTTATTTTTATCTCAGGACTAACCAGATGGATGTTATACAAAACATACAACTATAAGTAAGTTTATTTTTATCTCAGGACTAACCAGATGGATGTTATACAAAACATACAACTATAAGTAAGTTTATTTTTATCTCAGGACTAACCAGTTGGATGTTATACAAAACATACAACTATAAGTAAGTTTATTTTTATCTCAGGACTAACCAGATGGATGTTATACAAAACATACAACTATAAGTAAGTTTATTTTTATCTCAGGACTAACCAGTTGGATGTTATACAAAACATACAACTATAAGTAAGTTTATTTTTATCTCAGGACTAACCAGATGGATGTTATACAAAACATACAACTATAAGTAAGTTTATTTTTATCTCAGGACTAACCAGTTGGATGTTATACAAAACATACAACTATAAGTAAGTTTATTTTTATCTCAGGACTAACCAGATGGATGTTATACAAAACATACAACTATAACATTCTTTATACTTCAAATTACATTTTGTATATAAATACTGAAGACATTTCTGGAAAAAAAAACTTTAAATCTATGTTTTTTGACTCATTTACAAAATAAGTGTATTTATTTACAACGAAATAGAAAAATAAAACTAGGGACTGAAGTATAAGTTTTCATTTAAACTGTATGTCATACGGATTTCATAAAATCTATGGTTGTAGTAGATAAACTGGCCTTATCTTTTATTGATCGGAAGCTGAATCATTAGTTGTTTTATTGTGAAATATGTACCTTTTTTTTCAAATACCTATATCATAACGAATTTTTATAATGATAGTTGCATCTTTTTCAGTATTTAGAAGTAAATTATCAAGAATATTTAATGCCTGTATTGGTACTAGAAAATGTAAAGAAGAATGTGCTCATGAATATAAATATGTAAGTAAAGACTAGATTTGAGTAATGTGAATTTAAATTTTGTTGTTTGGTACCAATATTCGTGGGTTGATAAAAAATTGCATATTTGTGGATATTTGATTTTGCTATTTTACCCATTCTGCATACAAGCCTATTTAGTTGAATTTAATTCTTACTTTTTACCCATAAAATCAATGATTATTAGTGCCCCACAAATAATAATGAATCTATAGTTAAAATCAAAAATTATTTTATATGCTATTAGAACTGTTTTGGATGTCTTATTGAATATATTCCTCTTTATAATTTGTACATTAAAATTTAATTTAACAGACTTTAATACATCAAAATGTGAATACTGCAATGTTCTTCATCCTGTCACAATTTTTACACACTAAAATAGGGGCCTCGGTGGCCGAGTGGTCTAAGTAGTCGAACTACTGTATCACTAGCCTGTCAACACTGAGGTTGTGAGTTTGAATCCCTCATGGGGCAGGTGCACTAGACTCAAATCTTAATGACTAGGATTGTCAATTTTCCTATTAAAGGTCGGCGGTTCTCTCCGGGCACTCAGGCTTCCTCCACCAATAAAAACTGACTGCCACGAAATAGCATAATAGTGTTGAAAGTGTTGTTAAACACCAATCAATCAATCAATCAATACACGCTAAAATAACACAGTATGTAAACATATTGTGAAATCAGTCAACAGCAGTTTTTGTGATAATTAAGCAGAATTTAACATGCTAATCAGCAGTTACCCAAAGTTTAGTAAGAATGTGTGTCATTCTGTTTTCTGCTAACTTATTCTTCTTGAAATTAAAAAAAACTTACTAGCAGACTGATTTGTTATTTTTTATACAGATCTGCCTCTTCAAAGATTTTATATATATGGGCGAAATAAAAGTTGAGTATAAATGAAGATAGAACATTAAACAGTCCATTTTACTGTGAAATTGCAAATTTGAAGACATACAAAGATGATATTAAAGCAAGGCCCTTACCTTCTCCTTTTCCAAAATGTAATGATATGTAATATATATGGTCACAATTATAAATTAACTGTTTACTAAACTTTGAATTTTTTGAAATGGTAAGGATTTTCTACCCCTAAGAATAGATTACCTAAGCTGTTTTTGGCAAAACCTTTTGGAATATTGGGTCCTCAGTGCTCTTCAACTTTGTACTCTATCTGGCATACAAAATTTTTCAACTGGTATCTATGATGAGTTTATGTAAAAGATGTTTATGGTCTGTACATATATTGTTATATTTATTATTTTATTATTTTCAGACTCATCCATGTGTGATATTAACAAATCTGATATTTGGTGCTCTTTCAATGTTTCATCTTGCCTACTTGGGCCTCATGTTTGATAACAGTGCTAATAGTGAAGAGGTAAGCTTTTAAGTACATATCATTATACAATGTACAACTGTTAGATATTATAGAATATTATATGGCTCTATCGATATCACACCCACATCAACCTGAAACATCAATATAATCCAGAAAAAATTGCTTTGAGAGATTATATTGGTTGATGGTTGATATGGTATGTGATACTGAAACAGCCATATCATATACTCTTTATTATACACTTAAATTGTATATGTAGTGCAATCATTGCCAATCCTTCTGTATCAGCTATCTATGATGCTATCAATATCAGTCATGGTTACAATGCTTTTATTAAACCCTAACAGAAAAATGTCTGGTTTAAGTATAATATGATAACAATACTTACATTTGATCATTAAAAAAACCTGCAATTATTCAAAGTGTTCAAATATAATTTTCATTCGTCAAAAGGATTGAAACAAAATTTGTTTCAAGTGATTTATTAAAATTTACATACAACGGCTTATTTGTATAGTAATTTTGTATAGGGATTTGTAGAGACACATAGGTAGTGTTTGATTTTCGGTCTAAGTGCACCATTGTATGAACCTGTGTGTTGGTGAAATGCATTGTGATTACACCTAATAAACAAGATAACTAGATTCAAAATGTGCAATTCTTAGGCAAATTGAAAACAAAACAGATTGCATGTTGTGTGGAAAAATTAAAATATTAGCATAAATAGATATAAGAAGATGTGGTATGAGTGCCAATGAGACAACTCTCCATCCAAGTAAAAATTTATAAAAGTAAACTATTATAGGTCAAAGTATGGTCTTCAACATGGAGCCATAGCTCACACCGAACAGCAAGCTATAAAGGGCCCCAAAAATTAATAGTGTAAAACCATTCAAACGGGAAAACCAACGGTCTAATCTATATAAAAAACGAGAAACACTTATGAACCACATTAACAAACGACAACTACTGAACATCAGATTCCTGACTTAGGACAGGTGCAAACAATTGCAGCGGGTTTAAACGTTTTAATGGTACCAAACCTTCACCCTTATCTGAAACAATAGTGTAACATCACAACATAGAAAGACACACTATAAAATATCAATTTAAATGGCTTAACTCAATCAAAAGACATATTAACACCAGTGAACATACACTGAACAAATAAATTTGATCTATGATACAATGTAAATACAAAATAGATAAACTAAGGGAAGAATAATTAAAGTAACATGTTATACTGCTGTGAAATGTTAAACAATATAAGAAAAACAATATGCTTGAACAAAAATATCAGCCATTTGCAATTACTTTAAACACAGGTAAATGAAAATAATTTTGTTGTTGGGTATACGTGTACAGTTCAAATGGAGAAAGGAAATATTTTAACAAAATAAATAATGTTGATGTTCATAGTACGAAGAATTGGAAATTTATAGTAATACCAAACACTTATCAAAGCTGGTATATATACCAGATATAACCCTGAATAGCATTAAATAACAAAAAAGCATTACAATTTGTATCAACAGGTCAAATAAACAAGAAAGTACGATTTGAGAGTACTCGCAGTTACTGACAGCTAGTTAAAAGCCAAAAACAATTAATAATAAAAAATCATGCATCAGAGACTAAAATCAACTAAAACACATCCCAGGGATTTAGTATTTTAACGTCATGGACAGTCAAATAAGACATGACTTGTGCAATGCCAAAAATAAATGTATCAAAAGGCAGTAGGATAGTTAGGAGTTAACTTCTTTATAGATCAAAATGAACGTGGGTGTGTCTTTATACATCCCGTTTGAAAAGAATACAAATTTAGTTATGTTTTAATTTGCTGATGACAAAATCGATATTAGTGCCAATGTAAACTATATTCAAAGAAGACCAAATGAAAAACATGTTTTTTCCTATGCAATTGGGTTATTTTTTTACAGTAATGAAGTGATATTGATTTAAAAATAATCTTAGTTGAAATTAACTAATATTTTTCAGGGTTACGACATGTACCATACCTTAGAAAAGTGGTCGTCATTGAGTTATGCAAGTCACTGGGTTGTACTGGGAACATACATTTTTGCTGTATTGATATGAATTGTGCCTGTTGTTTATTTATTTACATGTGGTTTTATTGTGTATTATGAATCTCTTACATGTTTTACATTTTTTGTTTTATTTTATCTTACAATCAATAATTTTGTATGAGGGAAACTGAGAAAAAATAGGTACACTGTATGAGGGAAAATATGATTATTATATTTGATTGGAGGTCAATTAATGACAATGACCTCAAAAATGGGAGAAAAATGGGGTAAATTGATTATTTATAAGGTGAATTATAGAAGGAGGAAGAAGAAAAAAGAAAAGAAGGATTGAGAAATTGTTACTTTAATACTTAATGACGCATTATGGATTTTATTCCTACATACATGTAAATTAATTTTTTTATGTTTTTTTAATATGAATTGATGTTATTCATTTACCTTTCTGCATGAATGGTAACATTTTGTTACTTAATGAATTAATAGGGCTGTGAAGATAAATATTATTAGCTTGTCGTACCAGTTACATGTACAAATGTTGATTCAACCCCTATCTTTTTATACCCAATGAAACAAAAGTTCTGTAGGGTATAATGTTTTAGACCCATCTGTCTGTCTGTCTGTCCGTCCATCCGTCAGTCCTGTTCTTGTCATCGCAACTCCTCTGAAACCACACAATAGAATTTCATGAAACTTTGTAGATAATAAGGACATTTTATGTCGATGTGCATATCTACAGGAAATTATGATTCACCTTTTTTTCTAGGAGTTATGCCCCTTTGAACTTAGAATTTTGGCCTAAATATACTACTGCAACAGTTTGTCATCGCAACTCCTCTGAATCCGCACAACAGAATTTCATGAAACTTTGAAGATAATAAGGACATACTATGTTGATGTGCATATCAACAGGAAATTATGATTAATTTTTATACGACCGTAAAAAAAATTTTGTGGTCGTATATTGGTATGTCGTTGGCGTCGTCGTAGTCGTCGTTCGAAGACACATTAGTTTTCGCACTCTAACTTTAGTTTAAGTGAATGGATCTCTATGAAATTTTACCATAAGGTTCAATACCACAAAAGGAAGGTGGGGATTGATTTTGGGGGTTATGGTACCAACAGTTAAGGAATTAGGGGCCAAAAAGGGGCCACAAATAAGCATTTTTGTAACTTCCAGACATAACTTGTGTGTAAGTGTATGGATCTCTCTGACATTGTACCACAAGGTTCCATATCACAAAGGGAATGCTGGGATTGATTTTGGGGGTAATTGCCTCCAAATTTTAGGAATTAGGGGCCAAAAAGGGGCAAAAAACAAGCATTTTTCTAGTTTCATGACAATAACTTGTGTGTAAGTGTATGGATCTCTCTGACATTGTATCACAAGGTTCCATATCACAAAGGGAATGCTGGGATTGATTTTGGGGATAATTGCCTCCAAATTTTAGGAATTAGGGGCCAAAAAGGGGCAAAAAACAAGCATTTTTCTAGTTTCATGACAATAACTTGTGTGTAAGTGTATGGATCTTTATGAAATTGTACTTCAAGGTTTCATATCACAAAGGGAAAGCTGGGTTTGAGTTTGGGGGTAATTGCCCAAAAAGTTTAGGAATAAGGGGCCAAAAAGGGGCCAAAAATAAGCATTTTTATAGTTTCCAGACAAAAACTTGTGTTCAAGAGTATGGATCTCTCTGAAATTGTACTGCAAGGTACCATACCACAAAGGGAAGGCTGGGATTGAGTTTGGGGGTGATGAATCATAAGGGGGTTCAAAAAATTTGGGGGGGGGATTTTTTTTTCCTTTTTTTTCTTTAAAATTTTCCATTTTAAATTGGTTATTTCTGATTTATATATAAAAGCAAATAATAATGATATAGTTTGAATAGGTAAATTAAAAATTTTAAGTTCTTAGACCACTTTCATTTTGTAACAGAAACCTATGCTGTGTCAAATATTTAATAACAATCCAAATTCAGTGCTGTATCAAGCTTGAATGTTGTGTCCATACTTGCCCCAACTGTTCAGGGTTCGACCTCTGCGGTCGTATCAAGCTGCGCCCCAGCGGAGCATTTTTTTTTTCTAGTTTACCCACTTTGAACTTAGATTTTTGGCTTGAATTTACTACTGCAACAGTTTGTCATCGCAACTCCTCTGAAACCAGACAACAGAATTTTATAAAACTTGGTGATATAAAGGACACAATATGCATATCCACAAGAAATTTTTATCAGTTGACTCTTGTAGGAGTTATGAGTCTTTGAACTTAGGAATCTTGTGATATTTTGTTTGCCCTGTGACAATGTGGTGGTGTGGGGTATGTGAGTGTGCTCACAAAGGTTCTTTAATTTAACTTGTAATTATTGGTCTTTCCCCCCCCCCTCCCTAAAAATAAAAAAAAAGTAACTGAATTTGTAAAAGATAAATATATTTATTGAAATTTTATTTCACTAAAGATTTAAGAAATTAAATTTACAAGATTCGCATGGTTCTATATAATAACTGACAATCTATACAGGTATATTCAACGAAATTTAAAGAAAGGTATATTCCATTTTTGTCATAGAGCAATACTGTCTTATAAGTACATTCTTAGTTTTATGGGGTTTTATATGCATTATTATTTGATCAAATTTACTCAGTCATGTAAATAATTACACTTATATGTTATCTTGATGTGTCCTTTTTATACCACAAAAGTGCAATTATGAGTTAAAGTTGATTTCGCTTGTTTTTATATAATTTGTTTATAACAGATTGTGTCTCAGTGGTTACAAAGCAAATTGTCAAATCAACTGTATACTGGATCAGTAGTAAACATAAATGACTGTTGTTAAACAACAATATCATTTAACAATGACAAAGTCAGAATTCTTGGTTTGGTGTCACCATTCTACAAACTCTGTGCAATAGTCTATTTGTCAATTTCCTGAGTTATTGCCCCTGAAATGTTGAATTTTAACTTTTTGGCATTTCTTTGCCATTGTTTTAAAAATATAGGAACTAGGTTAAAAGTGTAAATGTGAAAAGGTTCAGCACAACAAAAAGTATCTACCCTGAAAATTGGAGAAAAATCTGTTGACATGTTTTGGAGTTATTGCCCCTGAAACATGCATTTTTCTAATTTTTCATTTTTCACATTTTTTTTTTGCTGTTATTTTGAAAACTGCAGGAGCTAGGTTAAAAGTGTTTGCTGCAAAAATTATTAGCATGACAAAATGTATCTACTCTGATATTTTTGACAACCTGTTTTTGAGTTATTGCCCCTGAATTGCTGATTTTTTTATTTTTGTTACCAGTTTTGACTGTTGTCTAAAAACCATAAGAACTAGGTTAAACATGTACCTTAAAATTACAAAAATGATCAGCAATTCAAAGCGTAAACATAGTATGTGCATATAAAAGTCCTAATTAGCAAACTGGCGATTTTTTTCACAGGTGTGCCTCTGATGTTATATGACAAAAAGGATTAAGATATTGACTTGATTGTGGACTCTAGATGCAAAACAAAGTTGAATTTTGACTATTTGCTTTGCAACCAGCATCGCATTTAATTAGCAATGCAATCTTTATTTGCCTTCATGAAATATATATTGCAACTTTATGAAATATGTATTACCCAATTCTTATGTAGTCTAATAATGTGCCATATCTCCTTAAAGACTATGTAATTCAGCAATTTGTATATGATTATAAGGATATTACTGCTCTCATATTCATAAATTGATACTGAGAAATATCCTTTTGCAATGCATTAAAAAAAAATGTCCTGTAACCCTTGTGTTAAAAAACTAAAATGTACATGTTAAATATAAATTTGGCAAAATATTTTGCAATACTTATTACTGAACGGAGTCAAAAAGCGAGACATAGGTATGCTGTTTCCAGCATCGGCAGCGGTGTCGTCAACAATGTATTAGTTTGTGATGAGGTCTAGTTTATGGGGAACCACTAGTGGTAGGTCAATCATATTTGGTATGCAGTTGTACTAGCATTGGCACATCTCATTTCCATGGAGATTATTTGGCCCTACCCCCTCAGTCATGGTCTATTGACTTTGAAACTTTTGCTTATTTTACATGTATTAGTTTGTGATTAGGTCAGTTTATGGGGAACCACTAGTGGTTGGTCAATGATATTTGGTATGCAGTTGTATTAGCATTGGCACATCTCATTTCCATGGAGATTATTTGGCCCTGCCCCCTCAGTCATGGTCTATTGACTTTGAAACTTTTGCTTATTTTACATATATTAGTTTGTGATTAGGTCATTTTATGGGGAACCACTAGTGGTTGGTCAATGATATTTGGTATGCAGTTTTATAAGCATTGGCATATCTCATTTCCATGGAGATTATTTGGCTGCACCCCCTTAGTCATGGTCTATTGACTTTGAAAATTTTGCTAAGTTATCATGTATTAGTTTGTGATTAGGTCATTTCACGGGGAAACATTTAGGGTAGGCCAATGTTAATTGGTATTCAGTTGTATAAGCATTACCACATCTCATTACCATGGAGAATATTTGGCCCTGCCCCCTCAGTCATGGTCTATCGACTTAGAAATTTTTGCTTAGTTTACATGTAATAGTTTGTGATTAGATCAGTTTAAGATGAACTGCTAATGTTAAGTCAACGATATTTGGTATGCAAATTTATTGGCATTTGCAAGTGTCGTTTCCATGGAGATTATATAGCCTCACCCCCTCTTCATGGTTCATTGACTTTGAAATTTTTACATAGTTTACAAGTTAATGTTTGTGTTAAGGTTTTTTTAAAGGAAACGACTTATGATAAGTCAATGGTATTTGGTCTGAGTTGTATTAGCTTTGGCACATCTCATTTACATGGAGATTGTTTAGCCATGTACCTCAGTCATGGTTCATTGACTTTGAATATTTGCATAACTTATGAAACATGTTAAAGTTTTGCTATTTTAATTTCAACATTTGCATAATCAAAATTACAAAAGGGCGAGACATATCTCTGTGATAACAGTTTATCTTGGATTTCAGTGAGCCACAGCAAACAACAAATTTAAGAATTCAATGAAGAACAATCCCAGCATTTAATTCATGAACCCAGAACAGCCTTATTACAGTGTTGATCCATAGTTTACTTAACCTTTTTATGTGTGTTACTTGCCTTAGACAATAAACAGTTTAAAATGTTTTTGATAAAAAGAAAATCTTTTGTCTGTTGTTGAAGACTTTTTTGCCCTCTAGATGTCTTTTGGTTATTTTTGTCATTGGATTGCTGTCTCAAATATCTTGAGAAATTCTCTGAGAACTCTGATTTTCTAGTTAGTTCGTTGTAAAGCAGTTTCTGAAAATATAGTTGGTTCCGTTAGTTATACCTTTTGTAAAAATTGGACTGTTAGGTGGTATACAGAAAATCACAGGTGGTGCTTATGTGATATATTTCTGACCTGACACTACGTACTTTTTATTGCTTAATTCTTTAGAATTTAATATGCAATGTTTCGGGTTCTTTCGGGAATAATCCCAGGTAAACCCTCATCAGAGGCCGACCTTTATATATTTATTTTATATCTAGTATAGTAGATAGATGTGTGTCTGTTTCATAACAGTTTTTTTCAAATTTACTACACGTGCATATAGGTCTACGTTGTAGCTAGTCTTTTTACAGACTAAAGAAACTGACCAAGTAGATCAGCACCTTTGGTAAATTATTCATATATATAATGAAAAGACTTATTGTCTTTATTCTCGTAATCTAATCTATCATAAATCTACACGAGATCTAATAGAGATAGTAGTTATCAGTGCTATACTGTTGAATTTACACTAGACTGTCGTGTATGTTTTAACACCTACCTAAAAGAGGACCCCAGTATCACCTTTTTGCATTTTATGCATGGCCCTTCATATATGTAAGTTTTTGTTATTACTGCAAGGCTGGTAAATATTTGTTGTATTTTTGGTCTCAAAATTAAATATCCCTTCATGATCTCAAAGTACTGTTTTGTTGCATTTATTCATTTTTGCTTTGATATGATGTATATATATTTTTTTTATAATTTAACTTTCAATTAAGGGGAGATAATAGAACTAGATATTACTGCAAATCTACCAAATTTTACACTATTTTGTAAAATTTAAAAAAAAACAAGAAAGGGTACATACCCCTTTTTAGGATTTTAATTTCTGAAAGAGTAATCTAAAAACAAATGTTAACCTTGCATGGCATAATGTGCCTTCTATATAAAATTCCAATACCCTGCACAAAGCTTATCAAAGAAAACATATTGCTTAAAGTTTATTTGAAGTTTATCAACAAAATATATAAAAACATATGCTGATATAATGAAAACTAAATTTATTATATGAATACACATTTTATTAACCTAAAAAAATATTTAATAAAGCTGTGGTTAAGATAATATTCTTGAATTAATAAATCTTTTATTCTTCTCATTAATTTTATAATATTTCATGTTTTGTGATTGCAATTAATATAAAAACGTGATTTAATTTACCAATATTCATGTAATAACTCTTTTTAATTGTATTGCAAAATTTTCAAAATGACAAGAAAATTGTGTTTACTTAATGATAAAACTAAACAATTTATGGCATTTAATAAAGTAGATATGAGAAATTATCAATTGAAATCCATTTTATTTATAAACAAGGCCATAGGTCAAAGGCAATATAAATTTTACTTTGTTTGATCAAATTTGTTTATTAATAAAAGAAAGATATCATTTTATATATGATTTTAATTTTTATTTTGTGAAAAAAGTATTTTATTGCTATCTTTAATTGGAATGATATGCATGACAGGCCTTGGACATTATACTCTCTGTTTATTATGTTCCATAAGGTTAACTTTATGTTTTATCAGAGAAGGCTGCTTTGGACTTCAGAAAAGTCTTGTGTCTGCAGTCATTTACAGGTAATTCCACAACTTGAAGCAATATTGTACAATGGGCACGACTGTATGATTATTGAACATTCTACAAGGGAAAATATTTTAGAATATCTTCTTTACTATGGCTATTATATGCATATGTACAATGCCATAAGATACTAAAAATTATGTTTTTAAGCTTCAATCGAATCCAACTTCTGGTTTCGTTAGTTTGCAAATACAAAGTGGGGCTGGCAAACAAACAAACAGAAACAACCAGTGTTTCTCCCCAGTGCCACAGTGCTATATTTTTTACCTATATTTTTTTATGATAGAATGTAATATAAATGTGTGCTATAATTTAAGGCAGATGGTGCTATTTCAAATCCCATGATGCTATTTGAAAATATTGGGGAGAACACTAACAACAATCACTGTATACTACTGTGAACCTATTGTAATAGCTACAAGACTGTAAAAACAAATTCTTAATAATTAGATATCAGGAACATGTTTTTAAAATAATTTGGAATTGAACATTTGTTAAGTGTTATTTTCGTTGATACCATAGCATATCAAGTATACTTCCTTCCTTATTTTCGTTGATACCATAGCATATCAAGTATACTTCCTTCCTTATTTATTTGTACGTCATTTTGTATTGATGCATTTGTTTGTATCTTAGTCATGCAATGAATTTTTTTATTAACAAATTTCCATTCTCTATATCAGTATCTTAGCTAAGTTAAAATAGAGGGGTGCAGTTCAAGTCTGTCTTTGCTGTCCTCCCCTATGCCCTTTCTGTGACCACTCTGCCCTATGGGTCCTGTCCTATGCATTTGATATTTCTATAAAAAGTAAATACTTTTCAATGCAAGAATCCACTAGTGAAAAAGGTTTTTTAAATAACCAAAAATACTAAAAATCCAGCATAATTAATTTTCTCAATTATTTAATTTTTTCTTAATTTTATAAACATAATCAACTTGTCCCTTTTCAGACCAGAAACCGTGTTAACCTCATTTTAAAACTGTGCACCTCTTCCCTAAAATCCTATCTAGAACACTAATATGTATTTTGGTTCAATGATATTGAACTATCTGCATTGTCCTGTTAGTGACTTTTTTAAAACGACATAATTATTTTAAAAAGTTAATTCTATATATTTATTTACATAAACAGTAAATATAGCGTAAATAGTCAATTAATATATGTATAATAAATAGTAAAATATCAGTATTGGCAAAAAATTTTCAATATGAAAATTAAACTTTTTAAGTTTATTCATAGTATAGTTGCTTTTAATAAAAGAATGATTAGTTCATTATCACAATTTCAGAGTTGTCCCAATAGATCGGTCAATTTTCTTATAGAGTTATATGTTCAAATTTTATCCTTTTTGAAGGTTGTTATATGTTTACTCTCCCTTTTGTTAAATATTTTAGCTGATTTATAAAAGAATTTTCGCTCTTTTGTTAAAAACTGAACATTGATATATATGTTTTTGTTACAATGTGATATACACATATACCCGGTACAAATGATTGTAATAACATTTTAATATTTCATTCGTTAATGTACACTGTGGATTCAGTTATTTTCGTGGATACTTATTTTTGTGGATTCAAGTAAACTTGCATTTTTGTGGTATTTGATTTTGTGGTTTTGCAAATGTCGGCATGCAAGCTTATAGAAAATTTGTAATTCGTTGACCAACATGTTGACTATTTAAATTCGTGCCTCACCTGTTAGCCCTAAATCCACAAAAATTGGTATCCCATGAATAATAGTGAACTCACAGTAGAATAGATGAATATTAAATTAGTCTATGGTGAATTTTCATACTTGTATGTACATTATTTTTAAGACAAATATATTTGATACGGTTATATTTTTGATGTTGGTACAAGTTTTGCATCAATTGGGATATTAAAATGTATTTTTATAGAAATTAAAAGCAATGTTGTGTTGTATTTGTATTTATAAATGCAACAAAAAGTCATAAATCGATTGAGAGAAAACAAATCCAGGTTACAAACCAAAACCGAGGGAAACACATCAACTATAAGAGGAAAACAAAGGAACAACAGGAACACCGAAGTGCAACAAAAACAAACGCCAACACACATAGAAACAAACTATTTGATAACAACTGCCATATTCCTGACTTGGTCCAGAACATTTTAAGAAAAAATGGTGGGTTGAACCTGGTTTCATGGCATGCCAAACCTCCCACTTTATGACAATGTTATAAAATATCGTTAAAACACTACATGACAGAAATACAGTACAAACACATGCAAGAACATTCATAACAGAGAAACGCACAAACAAATAATATAATAGTCAACACAACATGCAAACCACAGAACAACAACGAACATATTCCATCAACGAAAAACACCACAGGATATCAAAAACAGTGATGTGCTTACGTAACTAACATGCAATCTCGAACTTTATACAATTATTTTCACAATATTTGTCCAAACAATTTTCATGACAATGATGGTATGGAAAGGCATTTTCATAATCATTCGGACTACAAACGATAAGACATAACAGATTATCCAACAGAAACCATAACATAAACATCATAATAAATCCATTAATGTTGGATGTACAAAACACAGAGACACACCTCACAGCAATGCAAATTCACTTTCAGTATAACAGTCATATTCGGGAATATTACAATGATGGTATTGAAAGGCACTTTTATCATTATTTGGACAACAAGCGATACGACATAACACATTATTCAACTAAAACCATAACAAAAACATCAAAAATAAATACATACATGAATGTTGGATGTACAAAATAACGAGATACTTCGTATAGCAATGTAAATTCACTCTCAGTATAACAGTCATATTCAGGAATAGGTCACGTTCGGTACTTAGCAGACAGACGACATAGATGTTAAACCAGAATCTAAGACGTGGTAAAAATGTCATTAGTTAGTTTAGACACAGACACATCGTATAGATCAACCAATATAATTGTGCTGCTTAAAATTCCAATACAATCAAAATCCATCAGGTAGACAATACTATCAAAGCTCATGGAAAAAGGACAATGAACATAATGGTCAGTTTATGAGTGAAAGGGTTCTAGCAGATTTGCAGACTGTTTCATTTTTAAAGTGAACAAATATGCAGACTTTTTATACGACCGCAAAAATTAAAAATTTTTTGGTCGTATATTGGTATGACGTTGGCGTCCGAAGACACATTGGTTTTCGCACTCTAACTTTAGTTTTAAGTGAATGGATCTCCATGAAATTTTACCATAAGGTTCAATACCACAAGAGGAAGGTTGGGATTGATTTTTGGGGTTATGGTACCAACAGTTAAGGAATTAGGGGCCAAAAATAAGCATTTTTGTAACTTCCAGACATAACTTGTGTGTTAGTGTATGGATCTCTCTGACATTGTACCACAAGGTTCCATATCACAAAGGGAATGCTAGGATAGATTTTAGGGGTAATTGCCTCAAAATTTTAGGAATTAGGGGCAAAAAAAGGGGCAAAAAACAAGCATTTTTCTAGTTTCATGATAATAACTTGTGTGTAAGTGTATGGATCTTTCTGAAATTGAACTACAAGGTTCCATATCACAAAGGGAAAGCTGGAATTGAGTTTGGGGGTAATTGCCCAAAACGTGTAGGAATAAGGGGCCAAAAAGGGGCCAAAATTGCATTTTTCTAGTTTCCAGACAATAACTTGTGTTCAAGTGTATGGATCTCTCTGAAATTGTACTGCAAGGTACCATACCACAAAGGGAAGGCTGGGATTGATTTTGGGGGTAATTGCCTCAAAATTTTAGGAATAAGGGGCCAAAAAGGGGAAAAAAACAAGCATTTTTCTAGTTTCAGGACAATAACTTGTGTGTAAGTGTATGGATCTTTATGAAATTGTACTACAAGGTTCCATATCACAAAAGGAAAGCTGGGTTTGAGTTTGGGGGTAATTGCCCTAAATGTTTAGGAATTTTGGGCCAAAAAGGGGCCTAAAAACAAGCATTTTTCTAGTTTGCAGACAATAACTTGTGTTCAAGTGTATGGATCTCTCTGAAATTGTACTGCAAGGTACCATACCACAAAGGGAAGGCTGGGATTTAGTTTGGGGGTGATGAATCATAAGGGGGTTCAAAAAATTTAGGGGAGGGATTTTTTCTTTCTTTAAAATTTTCCATTTTAAATTGGTTATTTCTGATTTATATATAAAAGCAAATAATAATGATATGGTTTGAATAGGTAAATTAAAATTTTTTAAGTTCTTAGACCACATTAATTCTGTGTCAGAAACCTATGCTGTGTCAAATATTTAGTCACAATCCAAATTCAGTGCTGTATCAAGCTTGAATGTTGTGTCCATACTTGCCCCAACTGTTCAGGGTTCGACCTCTGCGGTCGTATCAAGCTGCGCCCAGCGGAGCATTTTATTCTTTTTTAACGTGAACATTTTATCTTATATCCACTGAACCCTGCTAGGGATTGCCTTTAATATAGCAATATAAAAATAAGGAAATGTGGTATGATTGCCAATGAGATAACTATCCACGAAGTCAGTATTTTGTTGTCTGTTTTGAAAAATTAGTTATTCTGCACTTCTTGTTTCAATGAGGTATGAAAGTTCACTAAATCAAAGAGTTTCGACCCCATTCTGTTCTTAAATGTAAGTCATCTATCATAATAAATCCTGATAGGACTGTTCTTAACTAGAAAGAGCTAACATCTGAGATAATTTCTTGAATATTATTGTTTCCTCCAACCAAAATGTTTAATATCTACAATAATACATATTTATGCACACAAAACTTAATGTCAATATGACTAAAATAATAGCTAACTCGTCCCACAGTTTTCAAGCTTGAACTTTTATATTATACAGGGTGTTAGTACATGTATATAAACTAATGGTGGGTATTCATGTATTAACCTCCTGTTAACTTTCAAAAACTAGAAATATGAAGTTTGAAAGGAACAATGATAATTTTTGTACATTTATGGAATAAATTATAACTTGAGAACATCAAATGTGTCTTACAGACACAAGCATTTCAAGCTGTATTTTAACATCAATGGTTTGCTTAATCTAATGTTGTAAAACTATATTCATGCATGTGTCGTTTATTGGTGTGGTTCATAATTCTCGTTTTTTATAGAGATTAGACTGTTGGTTTTCCTGTTTCAATTGTTTTACACTAGTCATTTTGGGGCCCTTTATAGCTTGCTGTTCGGTGTGAACCAAGGCTCTGTGTTGAAGGCCGTACTTTGACCTATAATTGTTAACTTTTTATACATTGTGACTTGGATGGAGAGTTGTCTCATTGGCACTCATACCATATCTTGTAAACTTTTTATACATTGTGACTTGGATGGAGAGTTGTCTCATTGGCACTCATACCATATCTTATTTATATGACATTTACATCATCTTTGTCTAATTTCAACAGAGTATAAATGTGTTGACCTTAAAACATCAAATTTAAAAACCTCACAAATACACAAACAAAAGAGGGTTTCATAAACTACACAAATTGATATATATGAAAAAAAAAGTACTTAGTATTTCCACAGAAACATTTGAAGCAACTGATATTAAATGATATTTTTGTAAGGAAATAAGTAAACACATCAGTGGTCTCTACATATTTTTTTTGTGTTTTTTCCTTTGATATAAACACTGAAAAACTATTCAGCTAATTTGTATTCATTAGTAATAGAATAACAAAAGCAACTTCAAGGCATACATATATTATTGAAAAGTCATGAAAAATCACATATACATTCAATAACATATTACGTGTAATGTTTAGCACTAAACACAATATTTTAAATTTTCACTTTTAGTATTGAATCACAAAACATTCAATATGTAAATTGTCCTTTAAGAGCACTATTATCATTACCACCACAAACAGTTTATCTGTAGTAACTACCAGACACAAGACGGCTGATGTAGACATTGACATCTGTTGTAGCTGTTCTAGATGGTGTCAGATGAGGAAGTTGAAGTGTTGACTTCTTGGTCTGTTTTGTCTGTTGACCTGTTGTAGAGTTTCCTTTCTTCTGTTGGCTGTAACGCTTTTTTCTGTTTGATCGGTTTCTTGAAGAATACCAGTGCTTTCTCCATGGACTGTTAAAAGAATCTTGCCCATGAACGTGGGTTGGTGGTTCTGGGTCTGGCTTTACATATCTGTGACTAGTTGATTCCTGTTTAACGAGTCTCGATGGAGACGTGTAACTTGTGGTTGGCTCTGTTTTAATGTTAGTAGCTGGACATGTGCTGTCATCAACAAGTTCCTGTTTAATGTTGTGAATAGTTGAGACTTGGTCTGGATCAGGCTTAATGTCATGTTGTTGACTTGAATGATGTCCAGTAATGTTGTTGTTGTGGTCAGTACTGTCATTGCCAAAGTGCAGTATCAGGAAGTGACCATTGGCAGATATTCTGGTATGCTGAGTAACATTTAGTCCCACTGGTAATGTGGTCAGGTAATCCTGGACAGAGCTTTGGAATGACTGGTAATAAGACATACTGGAACAATTGTGGTAGACTGATTTATTGTTAATATCATGGCTGTAACATTATTTATTACAAAGTTTCTGTAACAACAAAGCAATTGATTGGTTTAAGGGAAAATCTTTTATGATAACATAAAAACCCATTGGTCGTTTTTTTCAATTAAATTTATTGGATAAAAGTTTGGCTTGGGTGTGCATTTGGTTTGATCAAACTGTGAAATTTAACGTATTTGTTAAAGATGTCTAATTAAATTGTTTATCTTACATTTTTGATTGTTTTTATTACATGTTAATTAAAAGAGAAGCATTAATTATAACCCTTTTATGTTTTACTCATGAAATATAAGCTTGTGCAAAACAGACATTCTTTTTTATTGCAAGCTTGTTTCAGCTAATTACTGCTACATTGGTCATTATTTACAATTACTCATCTTGGATT